ACATGTTATAAATTTCTGTTTATTTTTCTTCTGTTTATCTGTCTTTTAATATGGCGGGGGGGGGTCTCAGCCAAGGACCTAGAAGGGTAGACAGTAAAGTTGTTTTTCCTCCCCTACAGCAATACTCAGTAAAAGTAACACTTCTGTGGATGCCTACTCAGTTTTTAATGGGTCATGGTCTTTTTAGGGAGATGCAGCCATGCAGAAAGGTAGGAGTTTTAATGCCCAGGCAAAGTTTGGCTTTTCCATATTCTGAAATCAAGGGTCAAAGACGTCAAATGATGAGCCCTGAGAGGGCTTTACACAGTTCTATGGTCTTACTGTATCTCTCAGCAAATAAATGCCCTAGGTAAATACTAACAAGGATAGGGGCACATATTACAAAAATGATTCATTACAAGAAGGGATAAGGAGTCCACTGGGTCTAAATTCATCTGGCTTTAAAACAATGAATCCTAAATGACGTGCATGTTAATTACATTACTAAAGATATTCCGAGGACTAGGGAGTTTATTGAGCAAGTCTAATTCCTATAGATTACATTCTTTGGAGGGAGAGAGGAAGCGAGAGTATGTGTGCAAGAATTAAAATGTGTTTAAGGGGGAATAGAGAAAACCTAGATGTTTATCATTATTAACTAGTGCTAGTCTCTCAGATAGATGCTTTGCCAGTTCCCAAACCACTTCATGATAAATGAATTGCCATATTATTGTAATCAATATGTCTAAACATAACCATTCAGAACAGAATTGTTAACGAACATTCCCTTAATGTGACAGTTTCAAAGCTAAACATTTCCTAGAACCACAATTGTAAATACTACATTAGGAATGTTTAATATCAATGTAATTCAAAAAGCAGATGATGGCATTTCAAATTATATAGGTTCTTATTTCCTGTTCATTCAATTGTATGCATGCCAGACACATAGTAGGTTCTTAATAAGTATCTACAAACACATGAATAAATGAATGAAGATCTGCTTTAGGACAGTACATTGAAACTAAAGTAACTCTACTACAAGGTAAAATATAGAATCAATGGAACAAAATTGCTGGAGCTAAAGCTGACCATTTTAGTGAAAGAAAAATTAGATTTGTGGGAGTTTTTAATGGAACACATTATTACTGCATACTAAAGTAAGCAGAATACCATGTAGTTGGAGTAGAAAAATCATGTAAAATCTGCTAACATTTACTGGGTGATAAACATGGGTCAGACATTGTAATACATATTGATATTTACTAGTTTATTTACTCCTCATAGCTGCTCTGTATGTTAGGTACTATTATTATTCCCACTGTATAGAAGAGAAATTTGAAGCTCACAGAGATTAAGTGATTTGCCCAAGGTAGCACATTTAGTAAGCAGAGTTGGGTTTTGTATATACAGCCTGGTTCCAGAGTCCACACCCTTAACCATTAAACTGCTTTGCTTCAGAGAGTAAACATGTCCACACTGTGAGGTCATCAAAAATAGGAGTATGAATGAAAAAACTCAAAGAATGAAGGGTGAAAAGTGGCTAGGTCTGCGGCCAGAGCACAATGCTACTGGGTATCCATCTGGAGAACTGTTTGTGTTAAAGAAATGGAAAATGTAAAAATGGGGGAAATATGAAAGGTTGGGGTTTTAGAGGGAAATTGAAGGTCAGTGTTTGATGCATGTTGAGTCAGGCAGCAGTAATTAGAAACTTTAGCAAACGCATCTTGGTCAAAGATTCAGAAATTTATACATGGAATTTAGTCAAGTATGGGCAACAGTAGGAATGAGAAATAACACAGCAGTGAATGTGTCTACTCTTTGCTTTGGTTCTTTTATGAACAAAGGTCTAACTCTGAGGCTTGTCAGGCTAGGGACTAGAGTGAGGAATAAGGGGCAGGGCTGTCATTGAGTAATATGGCCTCATAGCCTTTGCCCCTTCGTTCTTTGTCTCTCTTTCATTGCATAACCTAGTTCTTCCCATATAGCATGTGAAATATATCTTTACTGCATGTCTGACATGATCCTAACTCTCCAACTACCTTTCCTGGCTGCAGGAATCAACAACTCTGGATATTCTCAAGCAGACGTTCTCTATGGTCAAATTTCCTGGCAAATTTTCAGCCAGGTTTTGTAGAATTAAGATTTTTTTAAAGACAGAAGGCTGGCCCAGAATCTACCCTAGTTCAAACCTAGCTGAACTATTTACTGGAGTATCCTCTTGCCATTAAGGAAGACTCAGTTGATATATATGAGTGATATCTCAAAGAATCCATACCACTCATCAGAGGGCTCTGACATTATTTTTATTTTATTATGTCAACAACACTGAACTAAAGGTAACAGTGGAGGAAAAGATGCTTAAGTTACTTTTCAAAGGTTGTTCTGGCAAGTTTACTAGTCAGAAGAATTGATAATTTGTGGCATTAAGATCTGTATTCATCAGATGCTTTAACATACCTTTCTATGGAGGTTTTAAAAAGAAAGACTTTGAAGGCCTATAAGGTGTTAAGGGATTTATGAGTCAATGGCAGAAAAATATAATTCATAGTGACAACTTCCAGTTTCTTCTCTGAGCTTTAGCCTTCTGAGCAATACGGCGACTCATCTGGTAATTACATCATTGTTAGTATGACAGCAACTTGGCATTTTCTGGGTCCCTATGAGCAAAGACCCAAACAGCTCACATGTACTGTGCCCTGAACTTCTGAACCTTGCAGGGCTGATGAACTTGCGGTTTTGCTATCTGTTAATCAAAGTCCTTTCTTTCTCCCAAATATGGTTAGGATAGATCATTCCCCATGATTATAAGCCTCTCCAGGGCAGGAGATGACATGTATTGCTATCTTTCTGAGTTGATGACTCATTTACTAGAACTCCCTTAAAAGGAAGGCAAACACTAACTTTTAAGACAGTCTTTTGGAGTATATGACCTTGAAGGACTCTTTTTGGCTTCTTAATGGTTTTATTCTACTAAGAATTAAATGCTATTGGCATAAATACATATTTAAAAACACTGTGGAAGATTTAAATATTGAAGAGTGCTCTAACATTGTCCATAATTTTATTCTTCATGTTTAGAGAATCGGATAGTATTAAAAAAGTTTTTCAAACAATTTCCTTGATTCCTCAATCATTTATCTTTGTAGTACTGGAAGCTTTTGTAGCTATGGGCAACTTAACCTGAGGCCACCCATGCTAAAAATAGCCTAGGGGAGCTTGAGCCTTCCTGGCTGTGTGCCTGTCTGCTAGAAGAGAGCTTTAAGAGTTGTATCCTCCTTAGAAACAATCTATTTCCTTCCTTTCTCCTTATGATCACTATATAACTGTCACCCTTACCTTGTCCTAAAATAGAAATATATGTTGTTCAAGTCAACAGATTTTTATATGTGCCCTATGTCTTCTCTACACTACCTCTCTTCTTGAGGAATAATTCAGGCTCATTAATTAGAGCATATTCAAGACAGTGACCAGAATAGTGAAAGTATTTTATCCACATAAAAGAAGAATGAATAAAAGGAAGTAAAGAAGTTGAACTTAGGGAAGAAAAAGCCCAGAAGATGTCATCAAACTTTTGAAGGGCTATTTTGCAGAAGAGAGATTAAAAGTGGGGGCAAGGGGTAGAAAGACAGTGAAGTAGGGATGCTTTCTAATAGGTAGGTTTTTCCAAAGATAGAATTAACTTCTTTGAGGGGGAATGGAATGTGATCCCATATAAGCCAACAGATCACTTGGGAAGATGTTATGGAGCAGTTCAATTACACAGCATTTAAGTTGCTTCCAACCCTGAGAAGCTATTTCTGTCCTTTTATATGTATAATATTTCTACTCTAAATTCTTTCATTGACTGAATATATATGTTAAGCTAGAGAAAGAAAAGACTCATGTTGCTTACTAGCTGCTGCTTACCTTTTCCTTCTATTAACATTCCCCCAAAAGTAAACTATTTTAATACTGTAGTCACCTTGACAACGGAGGTGTCTGTTTTAACAGCTTTCAGTAACATTATTCGAAGGGAATCTATTAAGCAATAAAGTGAGGAGAATAGTCTTGAGCATTCTCTTTCTTTTCCAACCTCAAAAAGTTTAGGATTAAACATATGCTTTGAAATTAAAATCACTGTAAATTTGCTGAGTAAGAGAACATCAAGAAAGTTTTCACTTAGCATAATGTAGAAAAAACACATATTTTTCTCTTGTGATGTACATCAACAAATTCACCAACTGAAAGGCATGGATCAAATTTTACAACTGTCTGTAATTTCTGACAATTCTATATATATATATATATATATATATATATATATATATATATATACACACATTTTAACCCTCTGTGTAAGGTGTTGGGGTTGCTGTGGAATCAGATTTTGTGTGGCAGATATTATATTCAACCACAACCTATCTTGAATTGTTATTAATAATTGAATAATAATTCATTATTATTAATCATGGGAAGATATTACCCAAGGCAGAAAAAAAGTCAAAAAGTACTACAATGGGGTATCTATTGGACATAGTTCTCAAGGAAAAACCTTCCAATAAGGAGCACAATTTTTGACTTTAAACCATCTTGGTTATTTTTAATTGGTTTACCTATTTCTAATAATAACAAATAGCATTTAACTAAAAACTTCCTGTGTACAGGCTCTGTGCCAAGCTCTTCGTATTTATTGTCTTCTTTCATCCTTAAAACACAGTGAAGAGTTGATATTATTATCTTCCCCCATTCCATATTATTGGGAAACTGAAGCTTAAGGAAGTCAAAGACCATTTCCACGGTTAATATAGTTGGTTTTAAAACAGAACAAGGAATCCAAATTTGACTCTAGCACCTGAGTTAGTCACCCATTCACTGTGTTATCTGCCTTGATGGCCCTAATGCAATGTGCTCATTTTATTTAGGATAAAGCTGTGTAAAAAAACCAAAATTTAATTTTTTTTGCTTCTCAATTATTTCCCTTCTGTTCTTTAGTATTAAGTGGTGCAGTCAACCACTCAAGCTTAGAAGGTTACACTCACCTCGTTTGTGAAGGAGAACACTGGCATGCCTCCGTCCATTTCCATTTTCAACATAACAGGAGTAATTTCCCAAGTCAGCTTCTTCTACAGAGTCCACAATTAATGAGATGGAGACTTCCTGTTCCCCAAGATGCTCCTTGAGGATTCTAAAATATAAAGAAAAACGAAACAAAAACCCCCACACAAACATACACATACATGGAAAAGAAAAAAATTAGAAGAATCTGAATTTGATGTGAAAATACCTACAGCATCTGTGCTTCAAATTTGGTTATGGATTGATGCGATCTTAATTAAATTATATCATGCCCTTTTCTTCACTTCTAATGAGGAAGCTTGTCTTTGTAGATGCTAATGAAGTTGCAGTTAATTATCTCTCTTAGCAGGACAATCACACTGTCGTAATAAAGAGGTGAGAGACACCTTGAAGAAAAGTTTATAAATTGCTTTCCCTTTAAAGAAGAAATATGATGTAAGGGCGAGATAAGAAATTCTAACGTCTTAGGCTGAAGGACTAATTATCTATCAGGTTAATTTTTTAAAAAAGGACGAATAGAAAATTTCTGAGCTATTTTGACATTTCAGTTGAAACCTCCACCCTGGCTTTTTCTTTTTTTAAATGATACAATCATTTGCCTATTTTTAAAGAAATATGAAATTACAAACATGCAGACTAAATGTTCTGATGAAGTGTTTAATTCTGACATTTAAAATCAATGGTAAACGCTCACTAACCTCACTGTCAAGGATTTTAGCAATCTTTCAGAGCAAACGGAAAACTTCAAAGCAAGGTTCCCTTTCCCTGCTCTCAAAGTTTCCACCTCCATCCTCCCACCTGTTTGGTAACTCATCTCTGCACATTACTTCCTAATGCTGAATAAAGAAAAAATACCTTTCTAGAACCTTCCTGGAGCACCCACCAAAGGAGAGAGAGAAAAAAGTGAAGTTTATTGGCCTTTTTTAATCTTAGCATTTCAAAGTGTGTGGGTATAAGAGAATAGTGAAATTTTAAACATGAAAAATGGCAGAGGAATATTTTAGTATATATTGGAGAATTTGCTCATCTGGGCATTTCAAAACCCAATTGGAGTGCAATATTCTTGTGTATTTGTTGCTAGGAGGAAAATTCCAATGGAAATAACCTTATATGACAGTTTTATAGTTTTTATTTTCTATTGAAAAACTTTTTCTCTTACACCTTTGGTCAAGTTTTAAAAGTCCTCACATTCAAGAAGAGGAATCTGGTTAAAATACTCATAACATATCCAGAGGATGCAATCCTTAGATAGGAGAGTAATTATAAATGATCAGCATTTTGATTCACTTAGAACTTACTTATTAATATGCTTGCTTATTTACATTATGATTAAAAATGAGTATCTGTGTCCAAGCATAATTTTAGACATAATTGAATACCTCAACACTTAAAAGTAAATGAACAAATAAATTAATTATTTTTTTAAAAAAGAGGTGAGAGGCTTAGGCATTATGCCCTCAAAATAGATTGCATTATTTAATGATTATTTTCTATTATTAATATCTAGACCTTAAAGTCATACTAAAAAAGGTAACAAAAACATTTTTGCATCCTTTATCATTCCTATCAAGTGCCTTATAGCCTACTTGTTGCCTCAAAAATGTAAAAGCATATAAAAAGAAATGACAGAGATTGTGTTTGGTTAAGTCCTAGCACCTTGTTAATATTTTCTCTCAACAATAAAAGAAAAAGAACTTTTTTTAAAAAAAAAGTCACAATATCACATTTTTCATATTTGATGCAATTTTGGTCTGTCTCGCACTCAGTATACTGCTTAGTGAAAAACTCCTTTTCATTTCTCTTAAATGCTTTGCAAATGGCATTCATGTTTTACAATTTCATAGTCAGTCTCAACAGTACTTTGCCTCTTTGCTACTAAATGTTGCAATATTTTTATAGTAGTAAAACCAAAACCTCCTCTTCTTCTTCTCCTTTAACTCACTTTCTATTCACTAACAGAGCAAATGTTAATCCTGGCAGTACAAGTTAAAAGAAAAAAAATTTCTTTACCTAATGTCACTTTCCCAAACTCGATTTTCATCCAGATCTTCAATAAACTTTTCTCCTTTCATCCAGTAAATTAAAGGGCTGACATCTCCACTGTACCCGAAGAAAGCTCTGCAGGTTAGATTAGCTGAATCACCTATGGAGAGAAGTGATGAAAATGTGTTATAAAACTATTTGTATACTCTTATTTTAGGCAAACTGACAAGTAACATTTTAATCAATTCATTGATTTAATGAAACATCTTTCCAAAATAATTATTTTTCAGATATTTTCTATTTCTTGCAAATTTATAGAATATATGCTTTTGATAGCTTTTTTTAATGGAATCAGAATTACTTATAAGATTTTGAAGAAGATGGGTCAGTTATTTTATAGAAGGTTCTTCCATTTAGGTTTGCCCGAAGTTTCCACATGATTAGACAGAGGTTATAAATCATTGGGAATGATACCACAGAGGTAGTGTGCCCTTCTCAAAGCATGATATCAGACAGTTCATAATGTTGATAATATAAGATTTTATAAAACAGGTAGAAGATGTTTCTCAGTCCTGAATGTGGGAAATAGAACAAAATTTTTCAATGGGAAAGAAATGGAACTGTAAATCCACGATCCCCTAAAAAAGTTATTAAAATATTTTTATATATAAGGAACAATATTTTAATTAAGGAAACCAACACATGCTCAAGTAGAAAAGCACATTAAAATACGAATGATCAATTCATGAGAATAAATATTTGGGATGTTTATTAGATGTAAAATCATTAATATTACTGTGGAGGTAAGTTTCTTTCAATATGCTGCTCAAGAGAGAGCACTGCAATGGTGAATACAGATTGGTTGATTACTTAATAAGGTAAGTGGAGGTCCCTGACCAAAAGGTGGAAGAATTTAACGCCTACAAAAAATAAGGTGTATTTCTGGACAGGTCATGCAATTTTGCAAACACCTGGTTTCCCCAAGCCTTAGACAGCATTTGAGAACTGAAATACTCACGTACTATTACAGTTTTAAGATCTCACTGCCTCCAAGTAGAGCTATAAATGCGGGATGGGATAGAGACCTGTAAGGGCCTACTTTAGCTTGAACTAGGGCAGGGGAACTCTCAGGGACAGGTGAGTGATTCTACAATATAAACCTAGGGAAAGCCATAATGCACTTACAGGTGCACTCTTTTGAAGTCCAGGCATGGGTAAACCTATATGTAAACTCTGTTCTCTAAGTCCCACAATAAGAAAATCTTTTATTGAATAAAAATAATATTATTATGCTAAGTATGTTCACTGTATAAGAGTAGTTCATAAATAAATTACTGCTCTTCTAATATTTATAAGATGGCATGATACAGCTTTCTCTTTTTATCTTAACCTTCTTTATGTCTGAATGTTCTCCAAGAAAGTGATTTCTCATGGACTTTGATTCTATACACAATAGTCATCATTAGTAACCAGACAAAAGTCCAGAAAATGTCTACAAACTTCTAAGAGGCAAAATGGAGCTCTAAATAGGTTCCTTTATCATTAATTTTTATACATAAACATTTTCAAAATCTTTTAACATGGAATCCCCCTCCCTTGGAGAATATTTACATTACACAACAGATAACTGAATTTCAGTCTTACTGATTGGAAACCACAGATTTCTATGGGACGTGTCAATCCAATGTTACAAAACAAGTTTAAGTCCAATAGTCTTTGCTCTTCCACTTCTATAAGAACACTAGCTTTTATGCAACTGAACCACCTGTTATCGTGTCAAAAAAGTAATAAATTCAATACTAAATCCCACAATACTACATGGTGTGATGGTGAACATCATATGCTAACAGAATCAACATATATTACAGAGTTAACAATTTTTACATATGAATAATTTACACAATCTGTGTTTTAAGGGATCAAGTTTTAGCTTTTAGGTAGGAGTTAATGATAGGAACTCATACATAGAAAACTCCAGAAATTACCTAATTTTCCATTATAGTTTTACTAAATATGGGGACTTAAAAATAATGATCATATCATTAGCAACTCAGCCTAGCATTCTTTAGCAGAGAAGTCAATTGAATCCCTCACTGGGACCTGAATTTGTCTCTCTTGTCCCCCTCCTTCCTTCCCAGATCAAGTAATTTTCCATTACTTCATTCTTCATTTCTCTTATCTGTTGGCCTTGTGTGGCCACACCTAGTAAATGGCTCCTGCACCCAAATAAGAAATGATTCCCCTTTTCAATCATCTTTGCTCACCTGGTCTTTGACTACTTTGCTTTGAGCTTGAGCTGTGAGTATCTGCCATTAGGGGAACTCTATCCAGAATTGGGTTGGGCTTGCTGTGGTTAGAATGGTGTTCATGGAAGGTGGAGGGGAAAACAGAAAAGACTTCAGGTAGAGAGGAAAGGCATGAGTGAGAGAAGCCAGGGAACTTCGGAGGAAGTATGTAACTTCAGAGTGGCTGAAGCTAAACTGTGTGTAGGGGTGGAAATAGGTGGAGGGTTTGGGGGAGAATAGAGCACTGATGAGATCAAAGCAGTGGTGGCCTTAATCTTCTATGCAGGCCATGTTGAAGATCTGGGGCTTCCATTTAAGGGCAATGCTAAGCTAGGGGAAGATTTCCAGTAGGAGACAGACATAATCACACCTGCAGTCTAAAGAAATCACTCTTACTGTATTTGCAAAACTGGGATTGGATCAGAGAGAATGAAGAAGGATTAAGAATTTTACAATACTTTGTGACCACATATGGAGTAGTCACTGCAAAGACAGAATTATTTCCACATAATTTCTTAAAAGGAAAAATCATAGGTGATAGTAGTGACTACAGATCACTGTGCTTTTTATCAATGTGATAACAGGAAGTCTCTCCAAGCAGAGATTACACAGGAAGTCTGATAAGGTAGAGAATGTATTTTTTATTTTTAGAATCTGTATGTATCACTGTATGTGTGTGGGGGAGAGAGACAGACAGATTAAGGAGTTGCCAGCTGCTTCTCAAAACAATCAGGATAGAAAGTCAACTTGAGTAGAGATCTGTTCTGTGAATTTTTTGTGAGTCATTTCTCTTAATTATACCTATTTGTGGGGCTGAGCAAAGGTACCAATCCCATTCTTATGCATAGCACTATTTTTCAGGAAGGAACACTAGGAACCCAGTGGAGTCAACCTTGAGAGAAGGCCAGGTGAAGCCAGGCTCTTCTGAGACTACCCAACTGCTTAAGTGTTGGGGAAGAAAGCTGTGTCCATCCAGTACTTCTCATTTGGGAAATGGTGACTAATCACATGACTGTTTGTTAAGAGCCATGACTTTGGACCCTGAGTATGTGTTACCTGTGTTTGAAAGCAGAAATAACCATCATCCCTTCCACTGAGGCTGAATAAAAACCAGGAGTTGATAGAAAACCATGAGATAGGGTGGGGCCTAGGGAGAGATGATGCATTTCCATCCAATAAGGACCGATAGAGATTAATAAGCACAAGTAGGAAAACTGGGAAAATATAATTGGGAAATTTTATTTAGAGAGTTAATCAGGTGATTAGGAAATGGGAATTAGGAAAATAAAAAATAGCATGACTGTGTTTGTACCTTGGGCTGATGAAGCAGGACATGCCACTTACGTAACAGACATAATAGGTTTTCAGCATCTGAGTTTTCAGAGTACTCCATCCATGATCCATTTAATATTTTCATGCTTTTTAATGTTACATTCTTTGCTTAGAATTCTCTTGATTTCCACCTAGTAAACTACTCCTCATCCATTAAATCCCAACTCAAATAGCACCTCTTTCAAAAGACTGCCTTGGCTTTTCTAGGAATAGTCAGTCATTCTGTCTTTTCTCCTCTTGGAACATATCTGTACCTTATCATAATATATTCCTTACAATATTTGGTTTGTTTGCATGTCTAGTTCAGTGACTAGAATATTTATTCTCCAAAGGCAGAAATTATATCTGTAACTACCGTCGAATATTACTAGGACCCTTTACACTGTCTTGAATATATGAGCAACTCAATAATAATTTCGTATTAGTGAATAACTTGCTTAATAGCCCTTGTACGTGTATTTTCCCTTCGTTCCTTTTTCTCCCAAAGCTTTGTTAATTAAAGGTTGTATGTCTACAGTCTATCTCAACAGGCCAAGTCTATCTTGTAAACTAGCCTTCAACATTGCAAATGCAAAGCCTCCTTATTCAGATGTTAATTCGCTTGTGGGCTGGAGCTGGTTCATACCAGCTTCTAAGAGTCAAAGACTACGTTTTCAGAAATTCTTTAAGCAGGTTGTTAAATATGCAGTCATTATTAAATATTAAATTATAGAAACTTATAATTAATTAGACTATATTAAAAACAAAGGTTAACAGATACCCAAAACTCTAAATCACCTATTTTGCTGTATTATTGATCTATAGTATCTGAATGGCAGAAATACCATTTAATAGTATATTACTGCATAGCTCTTCCTAAATGCACATTTAGGGAGATTATGTTGGTAGCTTGAGATCAACCATGGTGGGAGTACTTACCTCACAAATTGCCAAATGCTACAAATCAGGCTATGATTTACTGTTTTGTTGATTGCTAATACTTTAGACAATATGGAGAAAATGTTAATAATGCAGATTAAGCTTAAGTGTGTGATATCTATAGCTGTTATATTGGTAATAGGACAAACATAAAAAAAATTCCTCTGGTATCCAAAAATTATTACCTAATTTAGCAAAGAATTTGCTTACATCACTGATCAATAAATAAAGTTCTGACATACATCTCCAATGTGCCACTCTTATTTGCCAATATAAATGAAAATATCACCCACCTATGTCAAAATTACACTTGGAGAACCAATTGTTAAACATTTACCAGCACACCATTTTTCATAAAAGTGTTTTTCAAAGATGTTGCATTCCTATTTTTAATACTTTTATTGACGTATATTTCACATATCATGAATTTATCCATTTAAAATGTACACCTCAATGGTTTTCAGTATATTTACAGAATTGCCCAACCAGCAGCACAATCAGCTTTATGACACTTTCACCATCCCCAAAAGAAGTCCTGAACCAGTTAGCTGTCACTAGCCATTTTCTCCCAAACGTAGCCCTGGGCAACCACTCATGTGCTTCTACTTTCTGTCTCTATGGATAT